AGGCACCGAGTTTTTGGGAGAATTCGAGAAGCTGTTGAAAGAGAGTGGCATCATGCACGGGCGTACGTCACGGTATCACCCGCAGTGTGACGGGCTGACTGAGAGGTTCGTGCAGACAGTAAAAAAAGGGTTAAGGGCTTACAGGGAGCGCTTTAAGAGAGACTGGGACACGCGGCTGCCTTGGGTGGTAGCGGGGTACCGCTTCAGTAAGCAAGCAGCCCTAAGAGACTTCTCCCCTTATTACCTGCTACTGGGGAGGGAACCCATCTTACCAGTGGACGCACCTCGTCTACTGACAGATGTGGTCACCACCAGCTCGGAAGAGGTGTGGAAGGGGCTGGCCGAAGCGCGGGCAAGATATCTGAGAGAAATGCTGCCAGCGGCACTAGAGAACTTGCAAGTGGCTCAGCTCCGAGACGCGCAGAGATACAGACGAAGGAAAGAGGGACGGGCGGAGTCGAGGGGGCAGCAGTTGGGCGTGGGGGAAGAAGTGTACGTCAAGCAGGCGAGGTATGATATGCTGGATGTAGGACTGAGCACGGAGCGATGGAGGGTGAAAGAAGTCAAGGATTCAGGCGTAGTAGTGCTGGTGGGAGAGAAGGGGCAAGAGAAGCGGGATCACCAGACGAACGTGGCGCGGGCCCGGCCCAAGAGAGCACCCCAGCAGATAGGAAGGGGCGTAGAGACCCTTATCGGGGGACAGCCTTTCAATCAGGAGGTCCATCGGCAGCAGGAAGCAGAGCTGGAGCCGAGAAGGGGGCAAGTGGGAAAGGCTGGGCCAAAGACCCAAGGCATGAAGAGAGAACTGAGGAACTTGATGGGGTGAAGGGAGAGAGAGGCCTTGAGAGGAGCCGACACAAGAAGAGAAGTACAGAGGAGGAGAGAGATTTCGACAGCTGTCATGCTTATAATTGTAGGAATAGAAGATAGGAGAGACAATATAAAAGCAAGACAAAGTACAGTAGTGTGTAAGGTTGTAGAGAACCAAGCGGGGGTCAAGGATGCATTCGGCGGGGTATTGTGCCGAAGTAGCGAAAAGAAAGAGACCGTTGCTTAGCAACGGTAACCAGAGAACAGTACTTAGGCAAGCAACAAGGTTAGAGTCACTTGCTTGCTTGTTTGTTTCCACTCTAAGCAAAGAATTGATCCTACAGAACCTCTAGAGTTGCGCCCGTGGAGGAGCCAATCATAGCAAGCCTCTGAAGTGTTGTGTGCTGTCTTGTCAGGCAGTCAGCCGAGTGGGAAAGGCTGGGCCAAAGACCCAAGGCATGAAGAGAGAACTGAGGAACTTGATGGGGTGAAGGGAGAGAGAGGCCTAGAGAAGTATCACTGAAAGGAGCCGACACAGGAAGTGAAGTACAGAGGAGGAGAGAGATTTCGACAGCTGTCATGCTTTTAATTGTAGGAATAGAAGATAGGAGAGACAATATAAAAGCAAGACAAAGTACAGTAGTGTGTAAGGTTGTAGAGAACCAGGCGGGGGTCAAGGATGCAATCGGCGGGGAATTGTGCCGAAGTAGCGAAAAGAAAGAGACCGTTGCTTAGCAACGGTAACCAGAGAACAGTACTTAGGCAAGCAACAAGGTTAGAGTCACTTGCTTGCTTGTTTGTTTCCACTTTAAGCAAAGAATTGATCCTACACAACCTCTAGAGTTGCGCCCGTGGAGGAGCCAATCATAGCAAGCCTCTGAAGTGTTGTGTGCTGTCTTGTCAGGCTGTCAGCCGAGTGGGAAAGGCTGGGCCAAAGACCCAAGGCATGAAGAGAGAACTGAGGAACTTGATGGGGTGAAGGGAGAGAGAGGCCTAGAGAAGTATCACTGAAAGGAGCCGACACAGGAAGAGAAGTACAGAGGAGGAGAGAGATTCCGACACAAATCTGTCTTCGAATTACACATGGAAAGTGTTGTATGTACTGTAATAGGTAGAATTCAGGGTAAGCAGCTTTCGTAGGGGTATTACTAGCGACCCTGCGCTTTCAAGAGGACTACCGTGCGGGCACTTTCCGCCCCTCTGCCACTCCGAAAGGAAAGTTATGGCAACAACACAGATCTCGGTCCCACATTCACCCACGTGTCACAAATTCAGAAAGTTAGAAAACGCACGGCAAAAAAATAAAACCCATAGGGAACCTGGACTCATTTTCGAGAGGGATCAACCCTAAACACGGGAACCCACATTTTTTTTAGGGTTGATGCCTTCCCGATATGCATCCCTTCCCGGTTGGGTTTTAGTTTTTTTTCGGTCAGGTAAAGGGATATTTTTTCCAGTGGCTTGCGAAATTCTAACACGTGGGTGAATATGGGACCGAGTTCTGTGATGTTGCCATAATGTTCCTGTCGGAGTGGCGGAAAGTGCCCGCATATAGCACTGTAGTCCCCTTGAAAGCGCAGGGTCGCTAGTAGTACCCCTGCGAAAGCTACTTACCCTAGAATTCACCGTACTCAGGCCTGCCCTTCACGTACGTTCCCGAACCAGAACAAAATAGTCGAACCTGGATGGTGTGGTTTGAAACTGTACATGTAGAACACACCAATGGGCGGCTTGCAGGCATTTGTGATTGAAGGCGTGGGGGCGATTGGGAAATCCGAAACCCGAATTTGCATTTCCAACGATCGTCGTTGCAGGGATTCCGCGAATGTGGCTACTAGCTCTGATTTCCGCAACTTAGCAGCAACCGCAGCCACATCCAGACCAGAAGGCCCCCTCCTTGGCCTATTCTGAGCTGACAATAATGTTCCGAGTTCTTTAGCTTGGCTTCACACAGCAATAATGATCAGCGGAAGCCGTTTTTTTAGAATGGAAGAAAATCCTGACCGCCATAACGGAGCTCCTCCCACCAGGCGCACGTGGCTGCGATCGATTGGTCCAGTGTGCCAGGAGGAAATTCTTCTATTGCATCCCAGACAGATTTTATCCGCCCGCTCCTCCCGCCTCGCCATCTGGTGGCATGTTCTTCTGCCATGAAGAATTTCTCTATTGCATCCCACCATAGAGTTTATCTGCCCGCGCCTCCCGCGGCGCCATCATCTGCTAGCATGTTCTTCCGCGCTTCCCATAATTATGCTCCCTATCAATCCCTTGCGCGAACTCACTCCTTACAAAGGATCATGAGAGGAGGAACTACATCCCAAATTACCAAACTCAAACCTACATACTATTGACATTGAACGTGGTGTGTGGTTACTCAGTTGATAATTCACTCCTGTAGAGTTTGTACGAACATGTGCTGATACATACAAACTACTACTCTCGCTGAAGCGCAGTAGGGGCTATGTCCCAACCCTACAGGTACTCCGCGGGGGTTGGGAGTACCCACACAGTGATTACTATGTCGCAACTCGATCCCTCGACATCAGCTGGCGCTGCAGTACAGAGAATGTCGGTAGTGGCATTCTCGGAACATAGCGGATACTTAGTATGTACAGTGTAGCTACACCTAATGAAATTATAGGGTAACACAGGTAAGAAGTCTACATGTCCAAAATATGCTCCAAATCTTGCAGAAAGACATCACTATACACGAGCACGCACAACATCACACACAGTCCTCCACCTCGTCCTCATCGCCGGGCACGCTGGGGTACTCGGCCTGCATTACAGAAACAACAACACATGCCAACATAACAGGGTAAGAGATGGTCAGAGCACAACTGGCAGCCCCTGCTGCTGTGGCAGTGAAAGATGACATCTATGTACTCGTATGTGCCGCCAAGGAGGCACTTGGAGTGCTCCCACCGTGCCTTGCACGCTACAGCATCGTACCCCTTGGCCCGAAGCAAGCGCATGACTGCTCGCCTCAAATTGCCATTGCTGCCGCTGCTGCTGCTGGCGGCCGTATTGCTGCTGCCGCTGGTGCTGCTGTTGCTTCTGGCGCCGGCAGCATTGAGGAAGAGCAGCGAACAGCTGACATTCGTCCGCGGAGGTGCAGGCACTGAGGGACTGGAGGAGGGGCGCAAAGCAGAAAGGGCGGAGAGAAAAGGGGATGGGGGCGGATGAGTTGAGCATTCCACGATCGATAGGGGGAAAAACGACAGCTACAATCAAATCAATCTCATTGGCCGTCCCCATCCCCATTCCGACTTCCGCTCTTCTCCCTGTCCTCACGTCAATGAGGCTCAAGATGTCCCCCATTCCGCGACGCCCGCCGCTCTCCCCCATCCGCGGAGCTTGCGCGTCCTGCTCCGCCATGCGCGCGTAGAACGAATCCGCGCCGTCCACGTTATAGCCACCCTCGCTGCAGCGAATCGCGTTGAGCAGGCGGTGGTCGAAAGTGTGGCTCTCCATCGAGCCAGACTCCATGAAATCGGAAACCATCTCTGTCAAACACACGGACGACGAATCGTGCGCGCTGCCGGAACTGCGGAAGGGAATGAGAGGGCGAGGGGGAGCGGCGGGAAGGGGGAGAGAGGCGCACGGGGGACGCGGAGAACTAGAAAGTCAGCGAGGTAAGAGAAAAACTAGGATAATCATGACAGCCAGAGCGGAAGGAGGGAGAAGGGGGGAGGAGCGCAGTGATAATGGAAGGGGTAGGAAATCGAGCAAAGTTCGGAGGCGCAAACCAAACAACGTCAAAACACACTTGTTGATGTCGTAGCTTGCGACGGTCTTTCCATGACTGCCCGTCGGCCATGCCCCATGGAATAAATGCAGCCCTCGGCTGCTACAGCTGTTCACCACAGTTGCCGCCGATGTTGCCGCCGCTTCACCCTCCCCCGCCTTTGCCGCTGCAGACTTTTCCGCTGCCGGCCCTGCCACTGCTGTAATTTGCGCTGCGAGAAGGGTGTCGCTGGTACCGCTAGCACAGCTGCGGCGCGAAGGATTTGCTGCAGCGCGCCAATTCTAGCGAGCGAGGCCTGGGGCGCATAAGCGTAGTGCGGGGTCGGCGGACGGGGATAGCAGTGCCGCACGCGGAAGTCCGGCGGAGAGAGCCCGCGCGTGTGGTTTGTGGGGGATCAGCTCGAGGGCACTGACGAGTCGCAGGAGGAGACGGGGGCGGAGGGATGCGAGCGGCGGGGAGGGCGAGCGTGTTGTCGCCGACTCTTAATGTGGACGGGTCGTACACAGCAGGGGACATGAAAGGGTGGAGCAACGACACCATTGTTGGCCCCACTGGTGCATCGATCTATCTCGGCGCACCGCTCGCGCTCAACCCTGATGGCTCCGTTGGTTTCGTTCCTCCCAGCAGCAACTACTCCTATAACCGGACCGCCAACAGCCTGACGTTCGGCAAGGATTACGTCGTGACGTGGAGTGAGACAGGATTCACCTCCGCTGTCGACTCCACGGGCGCAAATCTCAAAGGCGTCAGAAACCCCACCGATGGATCCGTCACTGTTGATGGCGTGTACACTGCCACCGATGGATCCGTCACTGTTGATGGCGTGTACACTGCCTACGCCAACAGCACGCTCATCAGTCCCGGCATTGTGGTGGTCGTGAATGGACCGACTGCCAGGTTCAGCATGCGAAAGACAACATTCCTGAAGAACGGAACGATCGTGGGCGCCTCGGGAAAGCCAGTTGTGCCGACTGCCAATGCGGACGGATCGTACACTGCAGGGGATCTGCGTGGGTGGAGCAACGACACCATTGTTGGCCCCACTGGTGCATCAATCTATCTCGGCGCACCGCTCACACTCAACCCTAATGGCACCATTACTTTTGCCAGCAATGGTGGCGCTAGTGGCAGTGCTCCTTGTGCTGCTCCATCTCCTTGTGCTGCTCCTTCTTCTGCTGCTCCTTCTCCTTCTGCAGTTCCTTCTTCTGCTTCTCGGCCTCCTCCTTCTTCTCCTTCTCCTTCCGCTTCTCCGGCTCCTCCTTCCCCACCCAAGGCTGCAAGTAACTTGTTACTTTTGCGCCCTTTACTGCTGTGCCATCCGTTCTTCCGCATTCTGTTGCCCCTCTTAAGCAATCTTCGTGGTACCTCACCATGTATCCCCCCTTCACATTTCCACACCTCTTCAACCTGATTCTCTCCTTTCATCATCCCCTTGTTTCTTGGGAGTGTGTTGTTAGTTCTGCCCTCATCCATTTTTGTCCTTTTCCCACCCTCGCAATGGCAGGTTTGCTTGATACACCGGTCACTGCTCTCACTGCTGTCATCACTATGATGCTTGGCACAATCCTATTCGTGTAATGTGCCGGCGCTTAGCGGCACCACAGGACTAGGCTTAAGGTCAGTCTAGGCACAAGTGGCAGTGATTCTAGTGTGCAGTGCACTCTAGGGTTTAGGCCTCAAGATAGGATCCGGATAGGTTAACATAGATAGGTCATTTTGTAAGGGCGAAAAAAAAAATCTCTCGTGAAAATCAGTGTCCTCTTAGAAACCAATTGTACTCAGCAGTGTAAATCGTCAAGTTACCCTTTTTTTTGGTACATACCAATGTAAATCACAAATTAAATTAAAATCAACTATCACATCATTTCACTAGCTAGATGCATCGCAAATGCTAACAAGGAAACTCTGGTGCTAACAGGCGTCGCTTCTTGATAGCCTGGAATAGGGTTACCACTTGCGGCTAGTTCACATCTTCGGTTGGCAGAACTGCATGAGTCATGACGTCGCACGGCCATGCATTGCCAAGGCACGTCCTGCTCCAGGTCTTGATTCGGTTTTGGCAGCTGAATCCGCACTTGGCTAGGAGCTTGTGTAGTCATTGGTGTGAAGCATGAGGGTGAGTGACTTGAAGAATCCCATGTTCCAGTGGTTGAGGTCCATCGTGTGCAAGAACAGAGGGAGCTCCCTCTCACATGTCTTGAAGTTCACTAATGGGGGGAACGTGGGTATCTGGGGGGAGTGTATTGGTGGGTTAAAGCAGTGGTATACATACTTCACAGTATTTTTTGGGGTTATTTAGGATGCACACCCAGCATGCACGCTGATTTGCTTACGAAAAAACCTCTTCCAAAATCAATACGTGCGAGCTCGTCAAACGGAACTGGCGAAATCCACCAGTTTTGTGAAGATTTTTGGTTGAGAAATAACCCTCGGCGACTCCGCGATAATTTCGCAAGGTTGGGTTGGGGAGGGGATTGGCGAATTTGTATAGCCAATCAAGAGTAGGGAAATTTCAGGCGGGGGTTGTGTTGTCAAAAACTGTGAAACACACCTTGCCATCGAAGCGGAGGGCTACCTGGTTTTCAAGTGATAAACTAGAGGCCCTCCCGCTAGGTATGTAAACGACAGCGTTAAGAATACATGTCGAAAAACAGTAAGGGCAGTACGGAATAAACAACATGTCTGCCAACGTGTGTAGGTGGTGTGGTTGGAGTGTGTTCGTGGGGCAAAACAAACGCACTTACCAGGGAGACGGTAGAGGAAAGATTTGTTGAGTAGTCTCAGCCTCTCAAGGCACTTTTTCAGATGCTGACTGTGTTCATCAAGATACGCTGCTAGGCGAAACAGCTTCACGCCGCCCAGATCCGCCAAGTCCTCGAGTCGGTACTCCAACCGACCAACTATATCGCACGCAAAATCTTGACACGTCTTCTTGCATGCGTAGAAGTCGCTGCCAGTTGTGTGGCCCTTGGGTGGCCTCTCGTGAAGCGTGAACGTGCACAGCAGGGTTGTTGTCCTTGTCAATGCTTTCGCCAGTGACTTCGCGGAAGGATGGATTATCGTGCTTCTTCAAGAAGTCACACAGCAAGGGCGACACGTCGTTCCCAAGGCCCTATTCGGCAGGTGCATGAGCACATGCTCGGGAATGGGCTACAGTGGAATGACCAATCGAGATGCTTCTGAGATAATCACTTGATCGCCTATCAAGGTCCAGGATAGGCGCATGAGCACCGAAGCGAGCTGATGCTGAATGACAGCCGAACGGTCATTTTGGCCCCCGGTTTGGGGGTCGAACCCTCGTTCCTGGAACCATCCTCCCCTGGCAAACCGACGCATCACTGATGAGCGCATGGTGCAACGTGGAGAGGAAGCATCCATGAGACAAAATATCATAATGCTCATGTTGTGTAGGCTGTAGTGGGGTAGTTAATAAGGGGTACAACCTAATTAGGGTTAGTACTTGTACTCAGCTTCATCTCAATGCAGCCATTCCCTTTCCGTATTCTCACACCATGCGCGCATCACTGATGCGGGGCAGCATTGAAGATTCGCCAGGATTTTCATTGGTAGGTTTTCAGGGAGGATGGATTGATATTGGTCAAGGAAATTTTTTTGACCCTACCCAGCAAGCAGGGAAGCCCGCAGAGTTAAGAGGCGAATGTTCATCCCGAGCTGTACAGTCTCGTATGTTGCACCACTCCCAAAAGCTAATACATATAAAAACACATTGGGTTGTGGCAAGCATAAGTTCAGGTCGTTGAGGATGGCGAGGATGTCCGCCAAAAAGAAGAGCATGAAGTGGAACTTAAACGATGTGACGACCTCGTACAGCTCATGTTTAGTCTCGTATAGCAGCACCACGGTCGCGGGCAGAGCCTGTGAAAGAATGAGGAATGATGGACTAGGAAATGAGTTGGGTACAAATATGTAACCCTAGAAAACTGTACCCCATACTCTCTACCCCACTACAGCCTAGAAAGACTATAGCATAAATGTTTGACACACCCCCATAGGCAAAGTGGGGGAGAACAAGGGGTCACAAGACCAGTCAAGCAAGGCAAGCTCAGGGTGGATCACAACGTCACCACACATTCCGAGCACAAGTTCAAGGCCACAAGGCCAGTTCACATGCAGGATTATATATAAAGGTAAACAAGCAAGTGCAGGTATAGATAGATCACAGTACAAGCAAGGTCAAGAAGTGAGCAAGTGAGGCCAGGTAGGCACAAGACCTAGCATCGTACAAAAGCGCTGATGATCACAAGGCTGAAGTGCCTTGGTAAAGATATCAGCAGTGTTGGCCCTAGAGGCCACATAAGCAAGGCGCAGCTGACCACGCTGCTGCAGCTCACGAGCAAGGAAGTAGCGAAGAGCAATGTGCTTCGTTCTGTGCTCCAGTCTGTGCTCCCGACACAAGGCCAGCATGGCCTTGTTGTCTACGTACAGAACTGGAGGAGAACGAGGCGGCTCTCCTAGGTCAGTCAGCAGGTAGGTGAGCCAGTGTAGCTCCTGTGCAGCCATGGCCCCTGCGTAGATCTCAGCCTCACAGCTGGAGCCGAGAACAGAAGACGAGCGGGTAGACCGCCACGAAACAAAGCCGGAACCAAGGCTGAAGGTGTAACCCTGTGACGACCGCTGCGTAGCCTGGTCGTCAGCCCAAGAAGCGTCTGCGTGACCTGTGAGGACCACTGGACGCCGCCCTCCAAGCACGAGCCCCATGCCCGACGTACTGCACAAGTAGCGCAACACCCTCTTCGCTGCAGCCATGTGCTCAGGTCTGTGTCTCCCAGGAGCAACATAGCGTTCCAAGATGCCAAGAGGGTATGCAAGGTCAGGTCGAATGCAGGTCATCAGGTACATGAGGCAGCCAACAAGCTCTGGGTACGGGCCACTCGGCTCTACGGACTCATCCGAAGGCAGAGCTGAGAGCGAGTGGCGAGTAGACAGAGGAGTGGCCTGAGGCGAGGAGTACGTGAAGTCGAAGCGCTGAAGGACCTGCTGCACCATGTGTGACTGAGTCAGGGTAATGGTGCGCTGTGCTCTGTCCCGGGTGATCTGCAAGCCAAGGTAGCTGCGCAGTTCACCCAGGTCTGTGCACGTGTGTCTCTTCTACAGCTCGGACTTCACGTGGGCGAGTCCAGCAGTGTCAGCAGTAGCAAAGACCAAGTCGTCGACGTACACGAGGATGTAGAACGGCGGCAAAGAGGTGTCGGTGCGTAGAAACAGCGACGGGTCAGCAGTAGAAGGAGCAAACCCAAGAGCCGCAAGTGTAGTCCTCAGTGTGTCGTGCCACTCACGTGGCGCCTGGCGGAGACCGTAGACTGGCCGCCGGAGGCTCCACTGGGTACCAGGAGGAAACGACCCAGTGAAGCCAGGTGGGCGGTGCAGCCAGATCTCCTCGTGCAGGCTGCCCTGTAGGAAAGCAGTGCTGAAGTCAAGAGAGTGAAGCTCGTAGTCGCGCTGAGCGGCTATGTGCAGCATGTCAAACTTATATCATATAGCTTGTCTAGGCTATAGTGGGGTAGACACTATGGGGTACAGTTTCCTAGGGTTTCCTACTTGTACCCAACCTTGTGCTAGTTCATTCATTCCTCATTTCTTCACATGGTATAGAGCAGGTTCCCTAGTGGGAACGCTTCCTTGGGCCCACCACTAATTTTTTTTTTCTGACCGGAGCGTCAGTCGCTCCTGCCCGAGGCGCGCCTTGTTCGCCGCCCTTCCAGGCCCCTCGCGGCCCCTAGCGGCCTCGTCGCCGCCCCTACGCGGCCCCGTCGCCGCCCCTAGCGGCCCCGTCGCCGCCTCTCTCCCTACGCGGCCCCGTCGCCGCCCCTACGCGGCCCCGTCGCCGCCCCTACGCGGCCCCGTCACCGCCCCTAGCGGCTCCGTCGCCGCCCCTAGCGGCCCCGTCGCCGCCCCTAGCGGCCCCGTCGCCGCCTCTCTACCTACGCGGCCCCGTCGCCGCCCCTACGCGGCCCTGTCGCCGCCCCTAGCGGCCCCGTCGCCGCCCCTAGCGGCCCCGTCGCCGCTCCCCTTCCTACGTGGCCCCGTCGCCGCAACTACGCGGCCCCGTCGCCGCCCCTACGCGGCCCCGTCGCCGCCCCTAGCAGCCCCGTCGCCGCTCCCCTCCCTACGCGGCCCCGTTGCCGCCCCTAGCGGCCCCATCGCCGCCTCTACCAAGCCCCCCAGCAGCTGAGCCGCCCAACAGCCGAGCCGCCGAGCCGCCCAGCAGCCGAACCGCCGAGCCGCCGAGCCGCCCAGCAACCGAGCCGCCGAGCCGCCCGACAGCCGAGCCGCCCAACAGCCGAGCCGCCAAGCCGCCCAGCAGCCGAGCCGCCGAGCCGCCGAGCCGCCCAGCTGCCGAGCCGCTGAGCTGCCCTACCGTCGAGCCGCTACTGTTCCTACCGGCGCGCCCCGGCCCTACTTACTCGGACTGGTGAGATCACTCCCTGCTAGGCCACTGCAGTCATGGCTACCCCCAGTGTCCTTACCTTTGATGCTGAGGGTCGTGCTGTTGACTTTGAGGTCTGGGTCGATGACCTCCAGCTGTTCCTACAGTGCGATAGGGCAGACGGACTCTC